ATATAATGATGAAAATATATTAAGCAAATCCTTGCTTGATAATTAAAAGAATAAAATTTGCTAATAGTAATTGCTGAAATGACCAGAGTGAGGGAGAACGTGAGCTTATATTTTTATGAATATAATTGGGAGAAGTAAAACGCACGCAGAGATTTGTTTCACCCATTAAATATCATAACGAGTACTGTAAGCACTTTGGATTTTACGTGAATTCCGTGCAATTTAGCACTTTTGAATTTTCCACGAATGCGCAAACATTCCTATAGTTTAGTCGTTATTAAATTTGACTACTAATATTCGGTAATACCTCTCAAAAGAAAGAAAAATAAAAAAAAAAAAAACAGAAAAACAGGATGAAAAATGCGCAAACTTTCGAGAGGTCTCAATTCGATGGCCACTATACGTGAAAAACAATATCATCAAAATGCCAAACTGCGCATTTTTATGCATTTATGGGAAATTTAAGGGTGCAAGAATTCGCAGAATGTACAAAAATATATCTATGTATGAAAATATCAGAAACGTAATAGTTGTTGCAATACTTGTAAAAATAATTTCTGCGTATAAATTCCATTTCTTTAGCTGCGAAAGCGACGCGGAGCAAAGTTCAAAAGGCAAATTCTAAAGAGGATTTTATAAAGTGAAATTATATTTAATAAAACCACTGAATGTATGCCGATAGAAAAATATTGAATGTAAAAGTTACTAATTCTCAATCAATATTCCGCTCCGCCACTGTTTTTTTTTTTTATAAAAATTTCACTATAAAGTGATCACCAGACTTTATAATGGATTTCTTTCTATACAAAATCCATGTTTTTACAAGTAGAATTTAAAAAAGGAAATTTGGGTAATTTTGGGGTAAATTTGAGTAATAATTTGAGAACGGAAAATTGTTACACGTGTATACCTCTCTATTAATTATTATACAGAATATCGATTTTTCGATATTTCGAGTTCATCTGCCAGTACGAATGGCAAGTCGAGAAAACACGCGAGTCGAAAAAATTATAGAATTACACAGTTATGGATTTTTAAACACTGGAATTTCAGCCTCTCTCTCTCTCTCTCTCTCTCTCTCTCTCTCTCTCTCTCTCTCTATTCTGATCTTTTTTTCTCGCGGGAATACGCAACAATTTATTATTTTTATGGCTGTTGCGTTAGCCAAAGGAGCCGTACGCTATAATTGCGCGAACCGCGACGAAGGTGGGCGGCGAAGGGGTGGAAATTCTATGGAATAAACGTATCATTACGGCTTTCCATGATGCAGGATAACAAAGGTGAATTATACGCGGCTGTTAGTCCGCTTTTATAATCTTTAGAACGTTGCGCCGCGCGAGGCGTGGCCCCGGGATTAGGGGTGGCCAGCGGAATAGAAACGAGTCGCCATGAAACGAAAAGGGGGTTACGTTATCGTGGTCCGGCACGTTGTAAATACCCCGGGCCCACGTCGGGCTACTTCCACAACTTATCGCGTCACTCTCGATACGCTGCGGCGGATTCGTGTCTCCAAGCCTCGATTTTTGGTTGACGAAGGATGCCCAGCAATCGATTTTCGTAGGATTCTTCGACTCTAGAGCCTGCCAGAAGCCTAGGTGTTCAAGATTGTAAAGTTTCTAGGAACGTATCCTGAGAATTCTTCTAAAATTCTTAGATTCTTGAGATTATAAAACTTTTAGACTTCAGAGCACTAAGAACTTAAGATTATTTCTGTGGAATCCAGATTGAGAATCTTAATCTAGATTTCTTAAGGATCTGAAACTTTTCCTAAAAAAGAAAATTTCCTAAGGATCTAGATTCTTGTGGAATTTTTGGATTCTGTAGAATTTTGTTCCTTTGGTTTATAAAATTCCACATTTTAATAAAATTCCTGGAATTCTAAGGTCCCTTCTTAAATCTTATGATTCTAAGATCTAAGGTTCCTCAAAGGATTTCTAGGATCTACACAAAAATTTAGGCTATCTACGAAATTTTAGGATTGTAAAAACGTAACTTTGGACTTCTTGGAGACGTAGTGAGGTTCCAAGTTCCAAGGATCTCTGTAGGAATTCTAGAACTCTAGAACTCTCAAGATTCTGTAGAAAAATCTAAATTTTCTCCCTCTCTCTGACGCAAATATTTTCCTCCTGTATTTCGATCTTTGTATCTTGGTAGTTAAACGTATCACTTTGCAAGTGTAAACGTTCGTGCATCTCGAATCCAGAGATTAAAGATTCAAAAGTGCACAAAATTCACCCTTTTTATCCTTACTGGCATTCCGACGAACGTTTTAACAAAAACGATCGATATATCGGTATCAGGCATATGAAATTAACAGCACAGGCTTCATTAATTGCTTCATTAACGAGCAAGTTGGTTTAATGGCACATTGATGGAGACCAGGCTCTGTGATTTTATATTATGTAAAAATACGTCATTTTCACGTCATCAATTAATTACCACTAATCAAAACGCTACTTTCACTCATTAGATAACAAGAACACATTCTTTTCTTATATATATATAAGAATAAAATTTGCTAGTATTAATTGCTGAAATGACCAGAGGGAGAACGTAAGCTTATATTTTTATGAATATAGCTACCAAAAAATTGTACAAAAAAAAAATAATGTACAATATTAATATATATATCAATATATTGTACATTAACATTGGGCAAAGTTTGAAAAGTTTAAATGACACAGGATTGATCAATCCTGTAATTTCACTGGATAGATCATTTACGAACGTAAATGAATTTATTTATTTACATGCTCTATGAACAAATTGAATATATCATATATCTGTAGTTACTGTAGTTATTATATCTATAACAGCTTAATAATTAGTTATTATATCTATAATAATAGATATAATATCTTTAATTATATCTTTAATAGCTAGTCGTCATTACATCAAAACGATCTGGTATCACACCGACGATTTTCAACTTCCTTTCGCAAACCTTTGCCTTATCAATTTGCAGAACGGACTTTAAACGACCGTTAATTAAAATAATGGAAGGCGAACGATGCGAATTATCTTATTTGCCAATCTTTCGCAACTCTGGAATTAACTTCGAATTCCAATGGCCTGCGATCCTCTTGGGCTCTGCCCTCTCTCGGACCTTTTCGCGGAAATCTGAATTACCTTGATCCTCGTTGATCCCGTATCGCGAGCCCGCGGGTTTATTTTAAATTTCAGGCCGCGTTGCGTCTAATTCCGGTTCTAGTTAAAAATGACTGGACCAACAACCAGCCACCTTCCTCCGAACGACGAACAACGAGAGAGAAAGTTTTAACCGTCGCATAACGGTAGCTGGGTCTGCGGTGACCCGTTTGAAGTCCTACTTTGTGTGTGAGTCATACAAAGTTATCCTGTACGGCTACGATTTGGCGATAAAAAATAAAAAGTCAAATGACGAACTCACGTATGAATCGGTTTTGAAGAAGCAGTCATAGCGAATGGCTGAAAGTGCATTCTCAGTGCATTGTTTTCAGTATTTTTCATTAGTAGTATATTCTTTAGTTTTGCAATATTTTTCATTTTTTGTATTCTTTAGTTTTTTTTAGTATTTTTCATTTTTGGTATTTTTTAGTCTTTTAGTGGTTTTTCCATTTTCTGGTAAATATATGTTTTATTATTGAAAATGATAGCTCGTATTGTTCAACAGGAACTTGGTTCATACTCTTTTGCCCTTTCAATTAGAAATGTAGCAACGTTAAAATTTGATCAACGAGATCGCGGTATCTGTTTGGTATCTGAAACATTTACGTTTCGCACGGTAATAATTAACAGAACGTTTCTTTGAACATCAACCATTCGCGAGATCTCTCCGTTATTAAATAATACAGTGACGTTCAAAATTGCAACGAGGTGGCATTGTTCGCGTGCACGAGGCTTTAACATCTTAAAGAAGCGACTTAAACGTTCATGCTCGTGTTTTGCGTCGTGAAACATTTGTAGATTCTGCTCCAAATTGCTTACTTAAATTTTTATCATCCTTCCACCTCCCCCCACCCCCTCCATTTCTTATTCCAATTCATTGAACGAGTCCGTCCTCTTTCTGTCGTCGAGATTTTCTCCACAGAGTTTACAGAAAAAAAAAAAGAAGACGAAGAAGAAGAAGAAGAAAAAGAAAGGTACGTTTCGTCAGATAAAGTTAGTCAAAAATATACGCTGTAACGAGTGTCTCGAAGCTTTCGTGTGATTTAGAGGGAGGAGGGAGAGAGGGATGATTCAAGGATGGAAGGATATAGGATGGAATCGCTGCCGGCGGACGTTGAAGACAGATCAGAAAAGTTTCGCGAGCCAATCACCGACGCTGGATATCGGGTCCGCCGATAAAAATGACAAAGTCTTAAAAGTTTCTTTCCGCCGTCGCGTCTGGCCGCGATTCTCTCTCCGAATTTGTTCGTCGACCGTTCTTGATCGCGAATACTCGATGGCTGCGGACGGGAGGGAATATTCGAAAGCCACGTACATATACTTTGCGTTAACTTTCTTCCACGAGAATTAGCAACTTCAAAAAGTTCGTTGCGCGGTAAATCCGTTTTTTATTCATCTAACAAGGGAACGATAGTTATGGAAGTGTGCTGGTAAAGAGAGTTTAAAAAATTTTCGAAAATTTAGGAAAGACGAGCAGAATCGTGAAATTGTTCTCGATTAGCGAAACGAAGGGAAGATTTAGGTAAATTAGGATATTTAGAAAGGCTGGGAAAATTCTTCTAGAAAACTAGAAAACTAGATAACAACAGAGATGTGCTAATGAAAGAAATTTGCTCAACTTAGGAAACTATAGGAATTGAGCGATTATTTTAATTTCCCTTTATCTTAGAGTATCTTTAATGTAACATTATCATTCACTGGGTCTTACTTACCTCGTAGATTATATACCAAAGTTGAAATATCCAGAAGCTTGATTCTTCCACGTATCCGGAAGCCACGTACCTCCTACGTAGTTTCAAGAGAAAGTAATCGGAAAAGAATATTCAGAGCAAAGGGGAAATTGATCGACACCGTCCCGTTTTTTTCTAACCGGTCTCATTTATTTGGTAACTCATAGATATACACGTTAACGTTCTCTTAAACCTAGAGAGAAAAATGAAAAACGCAGGAGGACCGTGTGTCCCCGTTTCATCGACACGTCGATGGTACCGGGAGATAGATTGGGGTGAGGGGAGGGGAGGGGAGGTGGGGGGGGGGTATAGGCGGCGAAATAACAAGAAACGAAAGAAGGCGAGAACAACCAGAAACGAAGAACGAGCCGCGACTGGCTACATCCTAAAATCATTAGAAAAATACACAGCTTACGCGCAAATCCTTTCAAACTGAATTAATTCAACACGTCGATGTTCTGAATTTATTTCTCGCGCTTAATGACGTTTACCTCGTTTCCTAACGGCGGGGTGTACGTGTACATGTCTGCCTCTGTGTGTGTGTGTGTGTGTGTGTGTGTTTGTGTCAGTATGTCGATGTGTCTGTGCGTGTATACGTGTAACACGTTCTCGCGTTCCTTTCGCGGGGAATCCTCGCTGCCGACGAGAATCGTTCGATTAATTCGCCCGACGTGTTCGCTCATTTACAGGTTTCTCTACTTTCCGCTGATTTCCAGCCAGTCAGCGAGGCTGGAACAGCCAACGAGAATCAATCGTTTCTCATTACCGGACTGCGGATTTCACCGCGCGCTTCTCGAAATTGAATTCCCGATTCTCGACTCGATCTGACCTGACTTTTCGTGATTCTCAAAGCAAACAAAAGCGGTGCTCGCGCGCGTCGCAATGGCAATTCTAAATCGTCCCGTAAGCTTTGTCGCCAATCGAATATTTACACAACCCTTCTACCCGTTCTCGTTGCACTCGCAACGCCGCGGCGGAAGAATTTATTTCTATCGTCCGTAGTATGAAATTAAATCTGTTCAATCGAAATCGAAAGTCTAGTATGGGATCCAAAGTACTCCGGTTTCTATATAGTCCGGGGGGGGGGGGAATTTAAAAATTCACGCGATTGAACGTTCCGCAGTCTGTTCGGCGAAATTCGTAGTCGTGTAGGCAAGTGAAAGCCTAAATTTTATCATCATCATTCCCCGAGATCGTTTCGCCCCCGCCACGAAAGGAACGACAAAATGGCATAATACGACGAAACGGGCACAATCAATGGTACGTAGCTTTCGTTGATATGTTCTACTTAAAGTCGAAAATTCTTATTATCGCACGGCCTCCTTCTACCGATTCTTTCTTTCTTTCTTTCTTTCTTTCTTTCTTTCTTTCTTTCTTTCACGGCTGGACGATCCTCGCCGAGTCTATCTCTCCATTCCATTCCACTCTTTGTGTATAGAACGGATGAAAAGGAATATGGCTCGAACTCTTGCACGAACAACACACTCATATTCTCTCTCTGTCACTCTCTCTTTCTCTCGCTCTCGCTCACTCTCTCGATAGTTCACGGCAGCGCTCGCTTCACGCCGATAACTCGTGGTTACCTGTGGGAAATTCTCGGTTCTTCTCCGCCGCGATCCTTTCATCTTTGTGCTCGCTCGTTAGTACGATTCTCGATTTCGGAATTTCTCGGACACTGGACGAGTTTACAACGACGGCTTATTTACAGTCCCGAGAGTCCCGTCTCGATGTTTCTTCAAGCTGTGGGTGAGGAGTGGGAAGAAGAGAGGGGGAGTGAGACTGACGAAAGGGATGGGAATAGGATTTCGAAGATGTTGGTGAGATGGAAGCGACGAATGGAAGCAGAATGGGGGGGGGGGAGAGCCCTGGTTCGTCCGCGAGTTATCACACGGCGAGATCGACAGGAATCAGGCGGCCAACCGTAAGTGTATTACACATCGACGTTTCCTTGGCATCTTACATTTACTCGCGTTTAAGAATACGAATCGTACAAAACAACTATTGACGCGCTACCCGGCCATTGCTATCACGACCCTGTTGCTTTCGACCGCGTTCGACCTTCCTCCGTCTTTATTATCGTCTTCTTCTTCTTTTTTCTTCGCGCGCGCGCGCGCGCGCGCGCGTGTGTTTCACGATCCAGAACCACAAAAAACGGGAAGTCCGGTGAAATTTTTGGTGAACGGCGAATTTCTCTCACGCGTTCTTTCTCAACGACATCCACGTAAACATCGCAGAGGCCGGGATGGATGAAAACGACGCGACGCGACGCAGGAAAGTTTTACCATCAGCCGGCACTCCGCCGGAGATCAACATCCCCCAGCGAACTCTTTAAAGTCGCTTTCGTTCGACGTGTTGCGAAACTTGCAGCCGCGACACGACAACTTTACTTGGTCGTCGCTTCCTCGGGACCGTCCTCCGTGTCTCTTCCATTTTCTTTCACCTGTATTTATGCCCAGGAGGAAGGAAAGGGAGGAAGTTGGTCGATCGCGGCGACAAGTTCGCGGAGGAGGAGAGGCGCGAGCGGGCCGAGGATCGGTGGACTCGTCGTGGCAGAGCGAACGGGCGGCGGTTTGGACAGTAATTGATTAGCCTTCCTCGCTAACGTTCCCCGAAAATCGAGCGAATTTCGACCCGGAGGATTCTTCACCCACTCGTTCTCAGTCTCTCCCAATTATTTTCTCTTTCTCGCACGCATACACACACGCACACACACGCACACGCACACGCACTCTCTCTCTCTCGTCTTCGTCTCTTTCGTTCGTTACATAGCGGTTTTTTGTTTTTTTTTTTTTACGTTTTTTTTTTCATTTTTTTTCCTTTTTACTCTTACTTTTAGGTAGATAGGTTTAATCGGTTACTTTAGGCGCGTTGATTAGTTACGATCTGCGTCCCAGCAGCGACCTTCCCCCGCCGCCTTCCCTCTAGCCTACTTGTTGCGTGCGCGGGGGACAAACTTTCGTGGAAGATCGCGCGTTGGATGGCTCCGAGTGAACGATCAACCCTGTTCACCACTTCTCCCTACCCCCGCCTTGATCGTTACCCGGTTTCTGTTATACTTTCTTTCATTCCTCGTCTCTTCGTACATCAGCTCGCTTCGTGCATTGTCTTTCATCTTGAATCATCGTCGTCGTTCCAATAGAAATATATACGGAAGAGCGTGAGTTGTGAATTGCCGCCGCCTCCGCGTGAAATTCCGAAGCGAACGTGGAAGCTTGCGAGCGTTCCTCTTCCTCTGGTCCGTCGAGAGATTTTCTTTCTTCGTTTCTCTGTGTGTCTCCTCTGTCTGCCACCCTTCTTTCTCTCTCTCTCTCTCTCTCTTCTTCCTTGAGTTTCTAGGTAATTCGAGGAGCTCAGTGAAGAAAGACACTGGTGACGGACCTGGTGGTGTGGGGTGGCAGATCGGGGGCCTCCGTCGGGGCCCCCTCGTACCCCTATGCGCTCAGGCCAAGCCGGTGGATCTTCGCGGAGAGAAAATTGTGGAGGACGAAGACGATCGGCTTGGGACAGCTCTCGAGGTCTAGCTCCTGGAAAGTTAAGCGTACAACTCTATATATATATCTATATATATATATATATATATATATATCTATATATATGTGTACATATGTGTATATATACGTTCCGTCACGATCGGCGTACAAACACTCGTGAAGTAGAACGCTAGGTGCGGAAATTAATTCTTTGTGCCTTTGCGATGCGTTAATTCAATTGTAAACCAACACGGAATTCAATTACTACTTTTGGAACTTTGTATTACAGCGCAAACGCAACATTGCAGAACTCGTAATTACTGATACGAATTGTTTCTGACATCAGTTTGTTACTCTGTTAGGCGTAGACATTTATTTAGTTTGTTATATCAGTTATGAATTATATATAAATTAAATTATTCATAATTATATATATATATAAAATTATAAATAAACATATATTTTATTATATTATAAATATAAATATATATTATATAAAATTATGAATAAATAAATTATATCAATTATTAATCAAACATTTGTTACTATCTTGAGGTTTTAAAGTACATGGTAAGTACAATTTCGAAAGATTTCTAGTTAAAGAAAAAGAATTACTTTTGTTAATAATTTATCGGTAAATGGACGGTGAGATCCAAGGCACTTTACAACTAATTTCTACATCTAATATATTTTGTAAAAGTCTATATTTTACGTGTATATAAATCCGTGTGTTTCTACTTCTACGCATAGTCGCGTAATGTTTATATATATATTCTCGCTTAAATTCGCACCCTCGCTCAAACATTTGAAAATCCTATATCTCGTAAAGTCAACAAAATCTCTGTCACACTGGAAATTGTTCATTTATAAAACATCGTTTCTCAATGTTGCCTTTTTTTTCATTAATCGTCAGTGCAAAGTTCCAAAAGTAGTAACTGAAGAGAATTTAGTAAAACTAAAGAAGAGAATTTCGTTATTATTAATTCAAAATGATTGAAATTTAATTGCAATAATTTCCGTTACAATCCAACATTCTACCATAATAAATTCTGTTCAACAGTACAAAATTTCTCTGTGCTTTCGAGAAATTTAATTAGCGTCGCGTTTAGTTATCAAAGGGAGAGCCAATCGGATTACTGTTTCTTCATCGCGGAGGAAGGACAAAAAATTCCAAGGTGGAAGCGGTTCTCCGGGAAAGGACACCCCGGTTCGGGAAAATTCGTTTCAGAGCAACTCTCTCTCTCTCTCTCTCTCTCTCTCTCTCTCAAGAGAGAGAGAGAGAGAGAATAATTTTTCCCATCGTGACGTCTGTCGCGGGGAAAATTCTACCTCGATGCGTTCTCTCTTTTTCCCTCCCCCTTTCCGCCCCACTGTTCCGTGACACTCGCACCCTCTCGCTTTCCAGAGAGAGCCAGAGCGTTATGAATGGCCATTGAACGGCCAGAGAACGGGGAGAGAACCGGACGACGGTGTTTGGGGAAGATGTAAAATACGGTATTCCACGGTATCGTGCTCCGGGTATATATCGAGGGCTCTTTCAAAGTGACGAGCACAATGGGATTACTCGGCGCACAGCCCTCTTTTTCACGATATCCCCGCCCCCTCGTCGATGATAATAATCTCGATAGTCTAGGCGGAGTCAATTAAAATTCTCTCAATACTACCACCGAGGGGCGGGGAGGGGGGGGGGGAAGAAGAAGAAAGGAAGTCTTCTTTTTTCCTCCCCACCGCTCGGTTTTCACGATAAAGCCATCTTCGTCTGTTTCCTACCAAGAGACCGCGACCGAAACGCGTCCCCGTTATTATCGAACACGTCAGCTCCAGCTAGGATAGGTATTCACCGCTAATTCGCTTTTCATTCGCGAAAGCTCGCGGGGATCACGCGTGGTAACGGTTAAGGGGCGAATAATAGCGAGATCTTCTTCGAGCAGGATTATCAGGGGGGAAAGGGTGGATAAATCAAGTTTCTTAGAGGGAAGCGAATTTAAAATTCAATGCCTCGTCGTGTTGTTGTTGTTGTTGTTTCGGCGAATTTCAGCTGGAAACGCCGGACTTGGCGGAAAAAAGCGGAGGGTGCGTTATTATCTTGACGACATTTTCAAGGCTTCGTGATCGTGGATTTATCGTGATGTTATTTCTTTTTTTTTTTTTTTTTTTTNTTTTTTTTTGTCTGACAGACGCCACTCACAATCTCGCCGTCCTCGCCGCCAAAGTCGAGCCACAGTAGACGCGCGCCGTCGTCCGCGGACATTTTCAGTTTGTCGAAGGATCTTCTCCAGAGAGGAGTCGGGGACGAGCTCGGGCTCACACCGTTGCCACCTACGGCCCTCGCGCCAGCTGCGTACAGCGCGAAACCGTCTTCGTGGTTTACAACCAGCTGACAGGCCTTCCCTTGCCACGTGCATCCTGCGGAGCAAAGAGCAGGCAAGCTTGTTAATTAACTGCTATTTTATTTATTTAATAATAATAATGATAAGAGCGACCAAACGTATGATCGTGACAAACATTGCACTCTCTTACACCTTAATAATAAATTCAGAATGGAACGTTCTATTTAGAAAAGTGAAAGGATGTGAATTGAATGGAATAAATGAAAGAGTGATTTAGACAACGAAATCTACGTTTCTATTGGCAATAAACCGGTAATGAATAATGAAATGCCATTGTTTATTTTCGGTGTAAAAAAAAATTTTTATTTTTTATTTAATACGAAGCAGAATGTCAAGCCAGATTGAGCACTCTTTACACGGAACCTGTTCCCTTATATTCGAATTTTGATTATTCTGTGTTTTATCATTTTATAATTCTGCATTTTAAATTTTATAATTTCGAGCTATTTCGAACTATTTCCAACTGTTTCTATAATTTCGAGCCTGCTCGTCGACACGAGGGGTTCGTACGTTTGAAACTGTAGAACAGCAAGACGCAAATGTTTAAAATTTAAAACTTATTAGCTTGAAACGTTTTTAGATGGAGAAACGATTTCTCGAAAGACTCGGCGAATAATAAACAAAAGTCGCGCGTGGATCGCGAGCGAAATGAGAATTGCTTTGACAAAGGCAAGCTCCAACTCCCGGCGTACGTTGGGAGGGAAGAAACAATCGTCGAATAAAGCCAAGTCACCTGTAATGAAAGTCATTCGAATCGCGCCGGTCTCAAACAACGAAAGTGCTTTAATAAATCCGAACGAAATTAAACAACAGCGGATCGATCGCCGAAAGACTGAAAACTAAAAACTGAAAGGTAATCTGACGATGAAATCGAGCTGGACCGAATAACATCAGCCAATCGTGGATTCGCGAGAAAAGGAAATTGCCCCGGTGAAACCGAAGCGCGGACAAAAGGATTGAAAGGCGACTTTTTTTTCTTTTTTTTCTTTTTTTTTTTGACGATATTCATGCACTTGAGAGAAAGAGATTAATCCGAGCTTGCTTGTTTCTTTTTTTTTTTTTTTTTCCTTTTGAAATTGAATCGCTCTTTATTCTATGTAGGACAATAGACATCTTTTTACATTTGCGTTACAAAACAAAGAAGATTCGACTGCTTCGACTCTCGTGCGCGTGCGAGTTCGTTCGTCAAATAATGTAAACAAAAGTCTTGCTAAATTCTGCATCCATCCAGAGATATAACACTTTGACAATTCATTTGTTTTAGTATTTATAATTATATTTCAGTATTTACAATTATATTATTCATTTTAGTTATTTAGTAATTCGTCTCAGTAGTAAATTTTTAAGTTAAAGTTCAAATTTCATTTGAAGAAAAGAGAATTTCTCGCCCTGATGGTACAAGAAACTTTGCCACAATCCGCAGAGTAATTTGGGAATATACTTTAACATAACTAATAAATAAACTGACTAAATAAACGAAGACTTTATTAATAAACAGATTAACTAATACTTTGGATTACTCACGAACGGTATACTCGCGCAGCGAGTGAGCAGCCGCGTGACAACCCTGAACGATTGCCCTGGCCCAGGCGGCCAAGTCTCTCCGCGTCTCTGCTCGTAGATGATGCGTCACCACGCCGTCGATCGTGCCCACTCGCACTGCGAATGTCGCCGCGTGCTGCGTTGTTCCGCTGTTGCTGCTGCCTGCCTCGTTCTGCCTTGCCGGCGATGACACCAATCTGCAACAACATCGTGAAATTTTCTCAGAGAAGGAAATCACTTCACCTCATTTCGTTGAACATTTCGTTCAACGTGCCTTTCTCACGTTTCACCAAGACTAAAGAAACATTTATGACATTTTTAGAAGCTACGTCTGCATTTCGTAAATATCATTTGCATTTTATCTATTGACTTCGAACCTCCAAATTCTCTACAAACGATTGTATTAAAACGGGGGATGATTTAGTATCTCGTTGATTAAAATGTCGAAACATTTTGGATGAATATAATGAATAATTCTTTACGATAAATAGAACGAAGTATAAAAGCTTCCAAGTGGAGAAATTCCAAAGAAATTTCGCTACTTTTGGAAATATAGTCGTTCAATTCGCTAATGCAAACACAGTTTTTTCATTTTTTTTTTTTTTTTTTTTTTACTTTCTCCACGGTGAAATATCGCTTCCTCGTGCTTTTCCAATCGTCTA